AGGGAAAGAAATTAATAACTATTAAGGTGCGTAATGTATGAGAATTATTCATCTTTGGTTACTTGTGTAATAATCAGTAGGTCCTATATTTTTGAAATGTAAATCTATAATTCACTAATAATTTTAGGGTGACGTATCGTTCACTACTAGAAAAAGTGTTTCAGCCGCGGGGAAAATATTTCAGCATGAATAGTGTTTATATTTCATTTTCAGTACGAATATTGCGTGCTATTATTTAAGGACACTTTACTCTTTTATATTTGACATGAGTAATTAAACCATATTTTATTCATATCCATTTTCTTACAAATATATATATATATATCTGTGTGTGTGTGTATACAAAACATAATAGTGCAAAAATTTTGTAAGGAATTTGGCATCTATGATATAGAGTACGTGGAAATATACTGTGTTTCTAAACATCAAATCGTACGTGGAAATATACTGTGTTTCATAATTATTAAATTAAAAAGTATATACAGCTCTAACGAACTTGACTATATGCACTTATTTATAAGGGACGTATATTATGTTCAAGCACGTTCCCCTTTAGTGAAAAAAAATATTAGTTATTTTTGTACCTGTTGCATCTTCAGTCCTAGAGATGCAAACAATAATAAATATAAATAACCTATCAACTTTTTCAAATTAAAAAATTAATTTTGTGAACTTTTAAAAATAATAGTGAAAACAGCTTATTAGAAAATTATGAGATTTAATGCATATATCAAATGATAGTTGAATAACAATCAACATTTATATTATCTATGATTCTATTTTAATAATTTTGTCAATTATAGAAAAATACTTTGGACACATTTATGAAAAAATATTTTAGTGAAAAAACTATGAAAAATAATTATTTATTAGGACCATAGTTATATTTGAAAAGAATCACATTTTAGATGACTATGTGGAAAAATGTTCAAGCAAGGAATATTTGAAAAAAAATATATATATATATATATATATTTAAAGACAAAATTTTATGAAAAACATTTTAAGATAAAAAGTTCTAATAAAAATGAAACAGAAAAAGCAAGCAAGCTGTAAACAGTTAGAAAAAAAACTGTAAAACTCATTCTCCTTTTTATGGAAACTCAGTTTTTTCCCTCCAAAATATCCAGATTTGTCAAGTTTTTTCCAAGAATTCGAAATAACAATTCCGTCCACTTTAATATTTCATGTGGCACATCCGGTTGAAAAACTGTAACAACATTTGAATAGTAAGACTAATGCTCCGTTTGTTTTGAGGATTCTGACCTGGTTCTGAATCATAGTTCTTGATTCGTTACAGTGTTTTTCTCTCACAAAAAAATTAAATTTAAAAAATCAAAATCATAAACCATGGTTCTGAACCCATTAACCAAACGTCACCTAAGTAACTTGTAAATTGATACTATTTAGATTTTGGACACCAAATAAAGACTTGGTGAGAACTATCGGAAACATTTGGAGACTTGCTAATAGAGAGCGTGTAGGGCTTCTCTGTCTATGTGATCAGTGCTGGGGGTAGGAATCTTGGTTTCATTGCTCAGAGTTGTTTATAACTTTGGTATTAGTTGGGTTGGCTGCTTTGGAAGAATTAGGGCTCGAATCCTGCGATGGGTTTTTTTTTTTTAGTCCAATTGACCATCACTAATTAAATGCTATGCTATTGGGATTTTTGCAAGCTATGCAGTTTCTCTCGTATTAATTATTCATTTTCTAGGTTAAAAATATCATCTTTCTAATTAAAATTCACCAATTTGCTTGACTTGACACCATTAAGTACGTACCTTATTGCCTATGTCGATCTATCATCTTTTTACTTCATTCTTTTGACTCGTCTGTTCTTTTCACTGAAATCTTCTCGTATAAGCTACACTAACAAACAAAAAACCAATAGCACAAAATACACATTATTTAAAATATAAAAATAAAAAACCCATACCCTTTCTATGGGAGTACTGATGGATGAGAAAAAGAAAATGGTAGGAGTTGGAGGTGTGGCCTAGCCGCCGGACGTGGGGTGGCTGGAGTGGTCGTCATCAGATGCTCCCGGTCGGGGGATTCTTGCTTTTTCCACATGCCACGTCAGAGCCCTGTGGATCCCACACCACCTTCTTCGTCATTTCCATATATTCACACACACACACACACACACATATATATATATATAGAGAGAGAGAGAGAGAGAGAGAGAGAGAGAGAGAGACATATATACATGTTACATATAATCGGCTCCCCTTACTCTTTTTCTGTGTCTGGGTCGGTTAAAGGAGCGGAGCCGATCCCCACCTATGTATTTTGTTGGTCCCCACAATAGGAAAATTGAGGCCCAAATTTCTGGTCGAAGTTTTTCAGTTCAACGTAGAAAAGACGTGGATGATGGACATTCGGCAATCTGCATCAAATCTTGTGTACTGCATTTTGAGGATAAGAGAAACCGTGACCGTCCGATTCCACGAATGTACCCCACTATAGTGGAGGGATATTTTGGCATAAAGTTATATCATATGATATGGAGATTCTATATTGTTGGCTAATATGCATGGTTTTTTGATGCCTTGTTACTTGGAATGAATGGTCATGATCATGAGACCTAATTACTTCCACAAAGAGAGAGAGAGAGAGAGAGAGAGAGAGAGAGAGAGAGAGAGAGAGAGATCAATTGTGCGATTTTTGAAAAAATAAAATACCTATCTCGAAGGCAAGATTGTTTATTTCCAAAATGTCAAATAACATATATTCAGTTAGGTTTAAAGGGGGGAAAAAAAACTGTTTCACAAAAACATTTATATTCGATGATTTTTTATGAGAATATCACGTTCTAAAAGTGTATAATGTGATTAGTGTTTTTTATTTATGTAAATATCCCACATTGTGTATCTAATTTTTTCTCAAAAAAAAAAAAAAAAAATTGCTGTACCTAAATTTTAACCTAGGCAGAGATTTCAATACCTAAGAGCCGAAGCTAGTTTTGATATGATAAAAGCACGTGTGTGCGTGTGTGTGTGTGTGTGTGTGCAATACCTAAGAGCCGAAGCTAGTTTTGATATGATAAAAGCACGTGT